GGCAGCAGACGCTGCCGCAGGAAGCGGTCGGAAAGGAAGATTGTGGTGTTGAGCCGGCTTTTTTCAGGAAAGCACTCCGGGGTGGCACTGCCCTGCTAGATAGGGTGCTGCGCTGAGGTTCCTCCTTGTAAGCTGCCAACGGGCTGTCAGCTTTGCGCGTGCCTGTGGAGATCCTGACTCTCGCTCCTGGGCGTTCAGCTCCTCCGGTCACTACAGGCTGGCCCTCGCTCTCCACGGTGCAGTCAGCAAGACGTGGAAAGGGAATTTTGGGATGAGATTCCTGCCCAGTTCCATACACAAAGAGGCCAAGAAGCAGGATGTGACAGAGGCTGCGGGGGCAGCTACCAAACCTCCACCCCTGCTTGTCAGAGTCTGTTCTCACGTGCCCCACAGAGGCAACGCGGGCCACGTTTCAGCCGAACGTCATTTATTGCACATTCTACATTTCATTCCAGATCAACAGAACACTGCTCGTAAGTGAAAATAAAACCCTGCCCCAGGAGCAAGGGTTTTGTTTCCTTCTGAACGAAAACAAGCCAACAACCCTTCCACGTACGAGCTGGTTTTTCAGGAGGGGGGAGCAGCTCTTTCAGATTCTCCTGCTGCACTGCCTCGAGCAAGGGGAAGCACCGTTGCACCGAGAGAGGGGCCAGCCACGTGCCAGGAAGACTACTAAGCAGGTTGTAAGAGCAGCAACGCGCTGCCCGGACAGGGCTGTTCTCCCCTCTGCCTCTCACGTGGAAGCAGCGATGGCTGTTCCAGGACTCACCGGGAGCAGAACCGTGACTGAGGAACAGCCACGATGTTCCTTTTCTCTATGGAAAAGCCTCGGTATCGGACACACGCGGTGTGCGGGTAGATCCTGGGCGGCTGCATGGCTGGAACGGGGCTGCCCTTATGCTGGCAAGTCACTGCATGGCTTCCATGCAGGACTAATCCCATGGATCCACGTCCTAACTGACACCCTTTAAACTTCACATGTTCAGCTCTTGACCCATCTGGCATCTCTCCTCGCTTCGGTCTGGTTTACCTGTAGAGCCTACGTTTCTCTTTTTAAGTTATTTTTAAATAAATGAGATGGGAAGTGATAGCTGCAGCATCAAATAACATGAAGTGTTGTCCTTCTCCCCCACTTGCATTCCTCTCTTCTTGAAAATGGGGTCACATGGTTGTAGGTGGCAGAAGAATGAACGAGACCGTTCCGTTCCGTGTCCTTGTCTGGAATATTAGTGTTTGAAATTAGCAGCTGGGGTGGATTCATGCAGAAGAGGTCCAGGTTACTACAAAAAGGCAAAGAACTTCATTCCAAACATACTTGTTCTTAACAAGCACATGTCACATACAGATCGGAGATGGAGAACAAGCTCTGCCCTCTTTCCAACAGAAGGATTTACAGAGAGGACTTCCAGGAGGTGGCCAGAGAACTTAACTTCCCCTCGGGAGCAGAAAAAGGTCAGTCACCTACCCCAGGAAGTATGCGAGAACGGGTCGGTTTCCCTGCTCGCTGTAAGGAGTGAGACGGCGCGGGGAGGGCCGTGGCCAGCAGGAAAGACTTGGCTGCCTGCGGGGTGGCGCTCAGCGCCCGCTCGCACGGCCTCAGCAGACAGCACTGCGCACTCCGAGTCACGCTGCTTTATTGGTTACCGAGCCGCAATTCAGAGTACTGCCTCGGAGCCGCCCGGAGCCGGCTCTCTCCCTCGCTCCTGACGTAACGGGTGGGACACCACCCGCTACGCGGGCAATAAAAATAAAAACGTCTCTGTTCAAACTCGTCGCGCCCAGGGGAAGGTTCCGTAGTTTCCGTTGGCCCAGGTTCCGTAGCGGACATGCTCCCACCTGATTAGCCATCGGCATCGATTCTGTGAGCTGCGGGACGAGAACACGAATGGACGCGTGCCGTTGCGTCGGGTGACGCATCCCAGCATGAACCCACCACGTTTCTAACTCAACACGATTCCTCCCACACAGACGGAAGCTTTGTAAGGTGGAAATCCCTAAACTGGGCCAGGGAGACGATCCAGAGTTAACGCAGCTTCGTGCCCTTTCCCCAACTCCCCAGACCTACGGGGGTACCAGTGCAACTTGTCACTAGCAGGTACCTGGTTCACAAAATTATCCTGGCAGGGAGAATGTTTTGGCAGATGGATAAATGAGGCTCAGGCCTCCACCTTGCCCCCAAAGGGCAAGCCAACTGCCCACTGGGCCACCAGCAGCTGCAGGCGGCCTCTGGTTAGCCGGTGTAAGCTGCTGCAGCGGTGCTGCTGAGCTCTTTCAGGTCACGCTCCACAGGCGTGTCATGGCCAGTCCATCGTGGTAACCCCAGTTCTGACCCCAGAATTCCCAGTTCTGCGTGCTTCACCACACAGAGCTGGAGCAATCCTTTACTCGTCCTTGGTACTTACATTGCTTTGGTATCCTAAGGGCCTCGTTGTCAGCGGACATGACTTGGTGCAGAACTCCTCGGAACTGATAGAGCACTTTCAGACTCTTCTCCTCACCCACGCAGGGGTCGTAGAAACCCGGCAGCCCGGCCTTGAACCAGAGGAGAACAAAGTGAGCATCAGGGAATGCCCTTTCACAGCTCTTCAGCTGACCAAAACCACCCTGAGTGCCAGAACGAGGTGTTATTAAAAGGAGTTTTGTTGCCAGTGAGACAAGAAGCCAAGGAATCCCCTCGGCATAGGCAGAAATGAGCGACTCAGGGTTGGGAAGTTTCTGGTGTACAGCCCCAGGCTGTAACACACCGTCCCAGGCTGCAAACAGAGACACTGTTTCTTTGGCACTGGAAATGCCCAGAGAAACAGCTCCTGGAGGTTCGTAACACTTGGTATGTAAAGGGCTTCTGGACATGGGTCTAGTGACTAGCTCCAAGCACCCTGGGGCGATCCCCTGGCAGGACAGCACCCGGGGCAGTCGAAACCCCGCGTCACACCTTCCAGCCCCCCGAGGCCGGGTTTGACAGCACAGCTCCGTACCTTGGACGCCTCTGTGAGGATGAGTTTGGAGTCTTTCACCAAGCACTGCAGGGGCACGGTCACATCTATTACTTTCACCTTCTCGTTCTTCCTGCTGTTGTCATTGACAAACTTCCCATACCAGGCGTTCACTACAATCAAACCTGCGTTTCACAGGAAATCACAGATGATGAAAGGCTCCCCCGGCAGCTGGGCAGGCACTGGTGAAACGGCCATCATGGCCCAGAGCCATGCTTCTCCAGACAGCAGAGCATTTCTGCCGGCGTGTTTGTTAGCAATCAGTCAGCACTAGGGCAGAACGACAAGGCTCCGACGCCACGTTGACCTGACCGTCCCAGCGGATGGCAGTTCACTTGGGAACACGCTCTGGGAAATTGCTAACAAACATCAGGTTTCCATGATGATGCAGGAGCAAACCATGGAAGCTGGAGATCAGTCAAACCTAAACTTCTGCACCTCTTTTGTGGAGAGGTGAATCCAGACTCCCCTCTTCAGCCCGCTGATCCCTACTACGCTCAGGCACCATGAGCCAGCCAAATCACAATGGAACTTCCCCGCTACACATGCGACAGCAATTACGCTGCACTTTGTTAGGATGGAAGTGAAGAAACCTCCTCGCGTTCCTGACCCTCAACTACCCAGCCTTTGTACTGTTCCCTCCTCTCTCTAAATTTAGGGAAGAAGCAAATGGTGTTGTAATCTTTACCCATTCTGGCTTCCTCCGCTTCGATTATCCTCCGGACGGACTCTTGCATTAACCGGACCTGCCACAACGCAAAGGGCAGAGCTACAGTCAGTGTCCGAAAGAGAAAAGCTCAGAGTGGGAACAGGTTCCTTGAACTCAGGGGATGCTGTTACGAGGAAGACTCACCGCGGCTTCAGCCTCCTGCTTCTTCTGGAGGATGTCGCTGGCTGTGCTCTCCCTTTGCTTCTCCAGCTCCCTGGCACAAGGAAGGGGACAGGTCTAGCCGCGAAGCGACCGATGCCGCCGCACCCCCCAAACTACAACTGACCCACAACCACCCCCCAAGCGAGCTCAGTTTAAGGTTCTTCCCGCCTTTCCAGATCTCAGTAGTTGGGGTGAACCACAGTGCCCCAGCTGGATACCCCAGTCTTTGAATTCCCAGCTCTGAATTGAAAGCAGAGTCTTGTAAGCTCACCTCTCCTTCTGTGCCTTGAGGTAGGGTTTGATGATTAGCCTGTGCATGGCGAAGTAGATCACTAGAGGTCCCACGGTGGCATAGAACACAGCGCTGGGAAGCAGCTGATCTGTTAGGTGGACAGGGAAGAAGTAGGTCTGGCTAGCCCTATTCAACCTGGAACAAAACAGAGCGACAGGTAAGAGGAATTGCAGTTCAGTGTGCTCAATTCAGCACACTCAGCAGCAGTGTACGCCGCTGAACCTCTGCGGAGCCCCAGGAGAGAGGAGTGATGGGCTGAGGGTGAAAATCCGATAGACAGTGGTACGACAGCCAGCTGACACCCCCCAGAGCCAGACGCTTATGTCGCAGACACCTCTTGTGGTAGGACCTGACCACTCTAAAGTGGGATTTTTTAATCTCAGGAGAATTCATTTGGTTATTAATTTCATCAGGGAAAGGGACCAAAATCAAACAAAGCAAAGAGAATGCCTAGAGGTCTGTGTTCACAGCACTGCTGCGTGCCAACGTTAACAGTTTGCTGATGCTCAGAATAATATTTATTTTAGAAAACAGTAGTTTCCGGCGATCAGGCTCTTCAGGCCGTTATAGGAGTTTCGCCATCCTGGCACGCCCTCTCCTGGCACTGATTAAAGGTGCACTACGGCACCCGAACCCTGGGCGAGTTCTGCTCCTCGGTCAACTCCCTCACCAGGCACCTGCATGGTTAAGGTAATCCACCAGTTCAAGTACACACTTGGGTGCAGACTTAGAAAACCGGAATGCAATTAAATCCACTTCCAGTAGTAATGTTTTCAGAATCTTCCACACACTTCCCATAATACCCCAAGCCTTACTCCAAGCTGTATTTGCCGAGCATTTTGATGCGTGCACACGCACGCAGGCACGCCCCCAGAGAGACGTCTCAGGCCCAGAGCAACCCCAGCAGCAGGCACACGCTGCGCCCGATGGGCACCACGGCGTTCGAGGGGCGGCTGCAGCCATTCAGAGCGTCACAGCGATGCACCCCACGACCGGGACCGCCCCACCTAAACCTCGGAAACAAGGGAACGCAGGTTATGGTCAGCCTCTGCAACCCCGAGTTGTGATCTGGGACTGACTTGATTTTCAAAGACACTCCTTGGGGAACGCCGATGCTGACGGTGGCTCCTAAAACGCTGTGTCTGGAAATCTTCCTCTCTGCTCCGTACTCCACTATGGTCCCAAAGAAACCTGCCCTGGAAGGACAGAACCAAACACTGGTGAGACAGGGAAGAGTCTTGAGTTTCTCTTCATCAAATCCTGCAGTTCCCCAACAAGTGAAACAGGGAAATACATCCGTGTGCAGCAGAAGTTGGCCACTGGAACATTCACTGTGTACCCACAGCATGAGATTGGCCTTTGCAGCTGTGAAGTAGTAAATAGACTGCGAGAACCTTCCGCTTTCTTACTGGTGGTGATACAGCTATCACACACGTACCCGAAGAGGCACACAGAGCTAAGCCTTCAAGACATTCACCTCAGCTTTTACCAGACTTAATTAATGAAAAGCAGATTCCCACAGACCACAGAAGCATTTGGTCTGTCTGGAACCCAGAGGCCTACAGCAGCGGGAGAGGACAGAACCTTCAGGCCATGAGCAAGGCAAATCTCCTCATGCACACTTACTTGACAGAACCTTTCACTCGTGTTTGATCCTCATCCTGAAACTTATGCTGATAACTGACCATCATGAAAGAATGGGGGATGCCCAGCTGAAAGAGAAGAGGAGCCAATGTAAGAAAACGTGCTCTCGGCCACCCCTGATCGTTCCTCCCAATTTCCTTTCTTATCCTCTGAGTGGCCATGCTGGCCACTTACTCATCGCAGCCTGCGCTGCGCACCCTGACCCTGAGCTAAGCGGTGATCCACCAGCCCTGGGTGCAAAGCGAGCAGCAACGGGGCTCTCACCTGTAACGCCACAGTGAAATGGCTGGTTTTGGTGTCCCGGACAATGCTCGTGTTCATGGCTGACTGGATGCCCCACCGCCACTGTAAGTACCCCATCGTGTTCTTGTCGAGGTTGCGGGCCAGGACCGTGGTGAGGCCTGGGCGAATCCCACGGGATGAAAACTGTAGGGCACAGTTTGTAGTGATGAAACTAGGAGGAAGAAGGAAAGCCTCATCAGCGATAAAACACAGGCTCCCAGATGGCTGCAAACTCCTCCTCACCCAGGAGCCCTGCTGAGCACGCAGAGACCGTCCTGCAGCAGCTGTGAGGCCTGAGGGAAAACTCAAACCCATCCAGACTGTACCGACCACCGCACTGCCCGGAGAGCGGCTCACGCCCTGGTTTACAGCCTGTGGCACAGCACTGCAGCAGGGCAGTGTTCTTCCCCTTCCACTCTTCCCCTTCTTGCCCACGGCTGTCTGCAGAGCAGCACACTCGGCTGCTAGAAGAGAGCAGCCCTCCTAGTTAACAACCCTCAAGCACCAGCTCCGAAGCCAGCATTAAGGGCTCTGCGGGAACAAGATCCCTGTATAAGATCCGAGGAATGGCGTACTGAATTAGATAATATACAAAGAAGAAAGCCTACAGTGGCTCCCACGGAGCTCTAATGCCTGTCTTTGATCACAACCTTTCACTTGTGCTCTCCTTTGCAACTCGAGACCTCTATACATTTGTAAGTGTAGTCAGCTGACATTCTGATGTCGCCATACTCGTGACAAATTCGGCATTATTTCCCTCAAATCACAGAATGGTTTGGGTTGGGATGGACCTCAAAGCCCACCCAGTCCCACCCCCTGCCATGGGCAGGGACACCTTCCACTAGACCAGGTTGCTCCAAGCCTCATCCAGCCTGGCTTTGGACACTTCCAGGGATGGGGCATCCACAGCTTCTCTGGGCAACCTGTTCCAGTGCCTCCCCACCCTCTCCGGGAAGAATTTGTTCCTGATGTCCAATCTCGATCTCCCTCTTCCAGTTTAAACCTGTTACCCCTTGTCCTGTCGTGTGAGAAACTCCATCTCACACGTGGAGGCCCCAGAAGAGCTCCCCCATTTCTGGTTCTGATCCCACAGCAAACTGCCATTGCTCTGATTGCGAGATCAGGCCTCAAGGATCATGAATTCACAACAAGATCCAATACAAATCCACGGATGTGGAAATCTGACCTTCTTTAACTGGAAGTATGAAAACGGAGGACACGACACACAGGAAGAGTACAAGCATTCTGATGTGCACTGCAGTGAGACCTTATGTCGAAAGAAATACCTTATTTTGTAGGATAGAAAACAAATCCAGAATTAACACGGAAAAGAACCGAGGCTGCTGAGTCCCTTCATGTGGAATATTACCCATTAGATCAATTTTCTAATATTTACCATCTTGGTGTAAGATTACGGAATATCTTCAGGCCAAAGAGAGGTCCCTGAAGGTCTCCTGCTCCAAACTCCAACTGTTGAAATGCACAATGCCAAAGTGTTAGAAGAAAATGTCTTTTACAACAGGAAAGAACCTGCAAAAAGCAGTTCCTGCTACATCTGCACCTCCCAAGTAAGTTTATTACGTGGGGTTTTTAAAACCTTTTCAGTAACTGACTGATAACGTTACCCACAACCTTTGGTATTACCATGCAGAATGCTGATGCAAATCAAACGCCCCCAGCCTACGGATTCTCAAAAGAAAAGAAGACTCCCCTTTCTCACAGGGTAGCCGTGGCCAGTGTGCAGAAAGCAGCCACCTGCCAGGCACAGCAATGGCATCTCAAAGCCACCGGCCTAGCGAGGTGCAGCTTTTGGGGGTAACTCAGCTCCTTCTATCAAAGCTGCCTGGGAGTCAAACTGTTTTCCCCGGAACTTTCTCCTGTGTGAGCCGAGCAGTTTGTGAAGTGAAGGCAGACTGTCACTGTGCGTGCCCACAGCCCCCGGAAGGCGCCTGGGAGCCTTCAGACAGTGAAATTAGAAAGGCCCTGGAGGCACCAAGCAACAGTTCCGCCAGCGTAAGCCAAGTCCAAATGCACAGCCAGATGTAAAGGGGAAACAAGTAAGAAAACCCAAGGTTTGGCCTTCCCTTCTCAAATTCCTTTGAGAATTCCTTATTCTACAGAATGTAGAAAATGAGAGGTGAAACAGAGCGGAAGTTCCCTGAGGAAAACAAACACGAGGTAGCTCATCCAAGCAGCCGGCCAGGGGGTGGATATAAACACGCGTGCCAGCTAGCACTCACCTCTCCCCATCCCTTGGCAGAAGTCACTCGTCTCAGAGCAAGGTTAATGGATCCACCTCCATTCCCATTCTGAGTGGAAAGGTTACCAGACAGTATGGCTGTGTCCGTGGCAGTCAGCGGTGCCTGGAAAACGAGTGTGTTGTCAGCAGTTGCTCCGATCCCGACTCAGGCATGTAATGCGTGTTCCGCCAGGGCGCAATCCTGACCGCGCAGAGACCGGCAACGCTCCAGCTGACTCCTCATCACCCGCTGCGCCCAGGGCTCTGAACCCGGAGTGGCCACACTTGCTCTGAACTTTGGGTCAAAGAGCAAGTAGGGCAAAAAGTGGGGTAATTCTCACAGCACCCGCCACTTGTGCCACCGCTGATGCACTGCCTGACCGTGAGCTGCCAGCGCGGCTGATCTCACTAGCAGACGACGCTTCTTCAGCTCCCCGGCCAAGGGGCAACAGCCCCATCTTCCCCGACCCGCATCCTCAGAACTGGCGCCGTTTGTTTTCGTACACCAAACCCTCCCCGCTCCCTGAGAACTAGATACCTCTCTCCAACCAGGAGCGAGCCTCCCCACCAGCGGGAAGGCCGCCAGCTGCACCGCGCCTGCGGCAGTGGCCACGCAGTGCTGCTGGGACTGAGTGCCCGCTTCCCACCCAGGCTGGTAAGTGACAATCCGGATGAGACCCCTTGCCCCGTGGCCTCGGCCCCATCACAGCAGGGTCTGCCCCCCTTACCTCAATGGACTGGGATATGTGCATTTTGTTTATCTCAATCTGCGGAAAGCTGCTCCCAGGCACATCTTCGTATTCCTCGTCGTAACGATCAAAGAGGTCAGTGGCATCTATTCCAACACTAATTGTTCCCTAAGGAATGACAAGGGAAAGATGTACCACGCGTGAACAGCCAACACAGGCCAAACGCCTGAACCACCCTTGCATACAGTTACAGGATTTTGCAGTTTTCCCTTATTCTTCAATTACCTTTTCCACTCCAAAACGCGTTTCCTACGCATCCAAGACAAACCAGACTGCATGATTACAATATTCTGAACCAGCAAAATACGTTGGAAGATTAACTGGAGGGAAGACAGTTTTCCAGCAGGAACGCAGCTTGTAGCACTAGCGGGCAACTCTGCAGAGGCAGGCAGAACACTGTCAGCAGCTGGTTTCTTCCCCCACACCTGACCCGGCTCTGTCAGTATTTCCAAGTTGAAATAATGTATTTTATAAATTTTTCTCCAGTGGAACTCGGCCAAAATCCCTCTACGTGCCGCTTCTTACAAGTTATCCGAAACAACAGTTTTGAGCTGCATCCTGCACTTGCAATTGGCCTCGTTAGTCACAAATTTTGTGACTAACCTATACCTTGTAATCAGAAGAAAGGCTGGACAAGGATAGACTTTCAGCAAGCGGTAAACGTTCCCCATCTCAGACCATAGAAAAGCTTATTTCCACAAAAAACTAGGCCATAGCTAAATAGTCTGGCTACCTGCTGCTGTGCTCACTCAGACTAACAGCAAGAGCAGGTTGATTTGCAAAGGGCATGATCAGATCCTCATCTGGGTCATACAGCGTCAGGAGGCTGCGGGAACCTTCCCCGCAGACCTACTGCGCAGTATCCCAGCTCATTTAGAACGTACCGCCAGCACCAAAACCCCCAAACCTCTGTGCGCAAGCACGGAACGCACGGAGCCATCCGTGTAAAGAAGCTGAACAGCTGGGCAGGTACAAAACCCACTCACACGGGGTCTGTGTATGTGGAATAAATTCTTCTTTCAGCCCTTGCTCACTCTGCTCTCATCAAACGCCGAGCCACAAACACAGGAGGAGTTGCAGAGTTCGACCAGACTCGCTGGTTTGGCTCCCAACTAGTTAATTCACTCTGGAGATTCCCAACCTCTTCTCAATGTTTATTTTCTGAAATTGGATAAATATTTTAACGCAGGAAGGTGCGATTATTTCCAGGAGAGCTCTGGTAGAGGGGCTGTGCCTCAGCTGTTATCATAGAATCATGGAAGGGTTTGGGTTGGAAGGGACCTTAAAGATCATCTAGTTCCAACCCCCCTGCCATGGGCAGGGCC